TACTCTTTTTTTTTTTGGCACCAGGGATTGAACTTGGGACTTTGCGCTTTCGAGGCAGGCGCCGGAACCACTGAGCTAAATCCCCAGCCCTCATTTTCCATTGTTAATGAAGTAGAGCTGTTGCTTTTAGTAGATATTTGCTGTGTGTCAATATTTGGTTTGTTTTTGTATTTATATCATAATTATAGATCACTTTTAAATTACAGGCCAGTCTCCTTAGAACATAGTTGCAAAATCCTCAATAAGATATTGACAAATGGAATGTAAAAAACCATCACAAAGATCATAGGTCATGATGAAATAGGTTTCATCCCAGGATTGCAAGATATGCAAATCAATAAATGTAATCCACCACATAAACAGAAGCAATGACAAAAATCACATGATCATACCAGTAGATACAGAAAAACTTTTGACAAAATTCAACACTCATTCATGACTAAAAAAGAAAAAACACTGAAGAAAATAGGCATAGAAGGACTTTACCTGAATCTGATAAAAGTCATTTATGACAAACCAACAGTCACCATCATATTAAATGGGAGGAAACTGAAAGTTTTCCCTCTAAAATCAGGAACAAGGGAAGAATACCTACTACCTCCACTTCTGTTCAGCATAGCCTTCAAATCATTTGCCAGAGCAGTAAGGCAAGAGAAAGAAAGAAAAGGGATGTGTATAGGAAAGGAAGAAGTCAATATCATTATGTACAAATAATGTGATCTTCTACACAGAATACCAAAAAAATTCCATCAAAAGACTCCTAGAATTAATAACCAAATTCAGTAATGTAGCAGGATATAGAGCCAACACACAAAAATTAATAGCGCTCCTGTACAACAGTAATGAACTCAGTAAGAAAGAAATTAGGAAAACAAAGCCATTCACAACAGCACCAAGAAAAGTACTTAGAAATTAACCTAACCAAGGAAGTGAAAGACTTCCTTGGGAATTATAGTACTCCAAAAAAGGAGATTTGAAGAGGACATCAGAAAATGGAAAGATATTCCATGTTCCTGGAGAAGAGGAACCAATATTGTCACAATGGTCATACTTCCAAAGCTGATATATAGATTCAAATCAATCCCAATAAAAATATCTACAGTGTTCCTAACAGAACTAGAGAAAATTATCCTAAATATAATATGGAACCAGAAGAGAGCCAGAATAGCAAAAGTAACCCTGGGCAACAAGTGCTAAGGAGGAGGCATTACAATCCTGGAGTTCAAGTTATATTACAAAGCTATAGTAATAAAAACAGCATGGCACTAGCACAAAACAGACATGTGGATCAATGGAATAGAATAGAATATACAGAAACAACCCCAGGCACATTCGTATACCTGATCTTGACAAAGGGCCCAAAAACATATGTTGAAGGAAAGATAGCCTCTTTAACAAGTGGTGCTAGGAAAACTGCCCATCCACATGCAAAATATTGAATCTAGACTGATATTTCTCAGCATGGATCAAAGATCTAAATATTAAAACAGAAACAATCTACTGGCAAATAAAATAGGTAAGGCTCTTAAAGACATAGGAAAGGACTTTTTGGACAGAACCCCATTGCTCAAGAAATACAAAAAAAAATCAACAAATGGGCTTATATAAAATTAAAAAGCTTCTGCACAGCAAAGGAAATAACCAACAGAGTGAAGAGACAACCTACAGAATGGGAAAATATTTTTGCCACCTATTCCTCAGACAGAGTACTAATACCTTGAATGTATAAAGAACTCAAAAACACTAGACTCCTCAAAATAAAAGATTCTATCAAAAAATAGGCAACTGAAATGAAGGGACACTTCTTGGAAGAAGTACAAATGGCCAATAAATATAGGAAACAATGTTCAGCATTGCTGGCCATTAGAGAAATGCAAATTAAAACAACACCGAAAGTTTATCTTATTCCAGGAAGAATGGCTACCATCAAGGAATTAAATGCTGGTGAAACAGTGGAGAAAAAGGAACTCTTCTGCATTGTTGGTGGGAATGTAAACTAGTCTAACCCTTCTGGAAACAAGACGCAGATTCCTCAAAAAAATTAAAAGTAGAATTTCCTTTAGACCCAGCTATCCTAGTATTAGGTATCTTCCCAAAAGAGTTAAAGACATCATATTCCAGTGATACATGCATACTCAAGTTTATAGCAGCACAATTCATGTCAGCTAATATTTGGAAATGGCCTATGTGTCCATCAACAGATGTATAGATAAAGAAAATGTGGTACTTATACACACATGGAGTACTACTCTCCTATAAAGAAGGATACGCTTTAGTTGTTTGTAGGAAAATATATGCACAGTAAATCCATAATGTTAAGAAAAATAAATCAGACACACAGCTTAATTATCATATGATTTCTCTTATATGAGAAACCCAAAGTATAAATAAATTAAAGTACAAAATAAGAATAGGTAAAAGGAAGTAGGAAGATAGATCTTTTGCAAATGGGAAATGGGCAAAGGAAGAAGGGAGGAGAAGAGGGAAGGAGCATAGAAAGAATTAAGATGTGTCATGTACATGTACAAACTACTCACAGTGAATGTATTCGTTATGCACCATAATGTGTACTCATAAAAAGAAAAAAGAAAACAATACAGTGTATGTCATCTTAACATTTTAGGCATACATTATAGTATTGTTATCTCTAGGTACATTGATGTACAGCAGCAGATCTCTAGAATATATAGATGTTCCTCGTTTAATGACAGAGTTCTGTTCCCGCAACTAGGTCATTAAATGAGCTGGTTGCTAAATGAGGAAATGCACATTACAAAATTCAGAACGAAGAAATGGTCTAAGGAAACTCAACTTGATGACTTTG